TCATATATCTCCATTTAAAGATTATAAGATATTATCGTCCCAGAATTACTCGTGATGAATTCCATGAAGTAATTCTCTGAGCGTGAGTTAATCCAATACTTAAATCTCCATTTTCTAAGTACTCATGAATATTGCAGCAATACCATTGCCATGTCTAAAACTCATTAGACAATCTACAACTCAATTCATGACAGTTTTAATTCACTACTTACTTCCAAAAGTATGATTGACCGTGGACGTTTGAATAATCCATTTATTCTGGAAGTAAAACATGCAAAATGAAACACAAAGTAAACAACAGACAGAAGGTAGTAATCCAAATTATAAATAAATCTCTATTATTTAATCACCAAAAGTCAATTACATTTATTTTGTTACAAGTTTCAAAATAATCTAACTACTAAAACTAATATCATCTTTCAGACCAATGCTCCTGGCATGCTGAACGTGCTTGACCCTACTCAGACCCTTTGTCAGGGGATCTGCGAGATTCTCTTATGTTGATACCCTCTTCACGAAGAGGTGGCCTTCTTCTACTCTATGCCTGATGAAATTGTATTTTCTGTCGATATGTCTTGATCTGACATGATCTCTTGGTTTCTTTTTTAAGGCAACCACCCCTTCATTATCACAGAAAATCTCCATTGGCTCCTTGACGGTTGGAACAACTCCAAGGTCTCCGATGAAGTTCTTCAACCAAATAGCCTCCTTCGATGCTTCGCTCGCCGCTATGTACTCTGATTCATAGGTAGAATCAGCCACCGTCTCCTGTTTGGAACTTTTCCAGGTTATCGCTCCTCCATTTAGGGTAAACACCCAGCCTGACTGAGAACGGAAGTTGTCTTTGTCTGTTTGAAAGTTGGCGTCACTATACCCAATTATTCTCAACGTATCACCGCCACCAAGCACAAGGACCCAGTCCTTAGTTCTTCGCAGATACTTGAGAATGTTCTTAACTGCTATCCAATGAGCTCTACCTGGATTTCCCTGATAACGACTGACCATGCTCAAAGCAAAAGCAATATAAGGCCGAGTACATATCATAGCATACATGATAGATCCAACAGTAGAAGCATATGGAACTCTACTCATTTATGCTATCTGTGCATCAGTACTCGGGCTCTGGGTCTTACTCAGTTTGGTATTACTCTGTATAGGTAGTTCTCCTTTCTTGGAATTTTCCATACTAAAACGTGTTAGTACCTTTTCCAAGTATGTACTTTGACTAAGTCCAATCAAACTTTTACTCTTGTCTCTCAAAATTCTTATCCCCAAAATATAAGCAAACTCTCCCAGATCCTTCATAGTGAAACACTTTCCAAGCCAAGACTTAACATCTTGCAAAGTTGGAATGTCGTTTCCTATAAGAAGTATGTCATCAACATACAATACCAGGAAGGTTACTATACTCCCACTAGCTTTGACATATACACAAGATTCGTCTTCACTACTAGAGAAGCCAAACTCTTGACATTTTCGTCAAAGCAAAGATTCCATATGCCAGAAGCTTATTTCAATCCATATATTGATTTCTCAAGCTTACACACTCTATTCGGATACTTTGCATCCACAAAACCCTCTGGCTGACTCATGTAAACATCCTTAGCCAACTTCCCATTAAGGAAAGCGGGTTTGACATCCATCTGCCAAATTTCATAGTCATGAAACGCAGCTACGACTAGTATTACCCTAATAGATTTTATCTTAGCCACTGGTGAGAATGTCTCATCATAGTCAACCCCTGGGGTTTGAGTAAAGCCCTTCGCAACCAATCGAGCCTTGAAAGTGTGTAGCTTTCCATTCATGTTTGTCTTCTTCTTGAAGATCCATTTGCATCCAACTGTCTTACGACCTGATACATTATCAACCAAATTCCAAAATTGGTTGTCATACATGGACTTGATCTCGCTGTCCATTGCCTCTTGCCATTTGGCAACCTCAGGGCCTGCCATTGCTTCCTTGTAGTTAGAAGGTTCATCCAAATTTACCAGTGTACTATCACTGATAAACGTATCACCATCTGTAGTAATATGGAAACCATAGAACTCAGGTGGCATTCTAACTCTACTGGAACGCCTAAGAGGTAATGATTCATCAATTGGTTCAACTGAAATTTCTTTCTCAGGTTGAGCCCTAGTGTCTTTAGAGGTTCCTTCATCGTTTGATTCCTAAATCTCTTCAAGATCAGTTATACTCCCACTATCCTCTTTGCATATGAGCTCTCTCTCGCGAAAGACTCCCATTCGTGCTACAAAGACCACGTTCTCATTAGGTCTGTAGAACAAATATCCAAAGGACTTTTGTGGATAGCCGATGAAAATACATCTCTCACTGCGAGGTTCAAGATTGTTGTGAATCTCTCGTCTAACGAAAGCTTCACAACCCTAAACCTTGATATGTGCTAATGAGGGAACCTTCCCTGTCCACATCTCATGAGGTGTTTTGGCAACCTTCTTAGTTGGGACAAGATTAAGAATGTGGGCGATAGTCTCTAAGGCATACCCCCATAATGAAATTGGAAGAGAAGCTCGACTCATCATGGAACGAACCATGTCCAACAAGGTTCGATTGCGCCTCTCAGCCACACCATTAAGTTGTGGTGTCCTAGGAGGTGTCGGTTGTGAAACTATTCCACATTCCTTGAGGTCGTCGTGGAACTCGATACTCACCGCCTCTATTAGATATAAGCATCTTTATCTTCCTGCCCAATTCTCAACTTCTTTCTTAAACTCTTTGAACTTTTCAAAGTTTTCTGACTTATGCTTGATTAAGTAGATATATTCATATCTGCTATAATCATCAGTAAAAGTCACATAGAATTGATTATCATCCCTTGTGGTGGATCTGAAGGGTCCCCACACATCAGTGTGTATGAGATCTAACAATCCTTCATCTCTTTCACAAGAACCACTAAAAGGTGATTTTGTCATCTTACCTAAAAGACAAGATTCTCATGTATCATTTGACCTTAAGTCAAATGATTCCAACACTTCATCCTTTTGGAGTTGGGCGATGCATTTCTTGTTAACGTGTCCAAGACGACAATGCCACAAGCATGCTTTGTCTATATCATTAGACGAATCAATTTGAAAAACACTATCACCTAAATTGTCTACAATCATTACAGTTTCAGACACACCATCACAAGGTAAAGCTTCAAAATAAAAAGCACCATTTTTATAAGCAGAAATAGAACCACTCTCATCATTAAAAGAATATCTAAAACCTTGTTTAAACAATGCATGAAAGGAAATAATGTTTCGTGTCATTTCTGACGAGTAGCAACAATTTATTAAATCTAATCCTAACCCACTACTAAGCACTAAACCATAAACTTCAATCTTGGTGACAGGTGAAGATCGCATATTCCCCATGATTAAGTTCATCCTTCTATGTTCCACATCCCCACTTCTTTTTAGCCCATGTCAATCAGACAAATATGAAATCCACATCCTGTATCAAGGACCCAAGAACAAGAATATGATGAGTTATTAGATAAGATAGTGTAAATACCTGCCGAGGTTGGCTTCACATTGCCATCCTTGATATCCTGCAAGTATTTCGGGCAACTTCGTTTCCAATGCCCCTTGTCATTGCAGTAGAAGCAAATGACCTTTTTGGGATCAGAGACAGAGGGAGCATCAGAACTGGATTTTCCTTTGGGTCCTATGCTTGACGACCCAGCTTGGGACTTTCCCTTCCAGTTTTGCTTAAGAGGACCTTTCCTCTTTTTCCCCTTCCCTTGACCAATGGCCAGAATAGGAGCACTAGCAGGAGTGGAGGCAATACTTTTTCCCTTCATTCATGCTTCAGTTAGTTGTTCGCAGGAGGTTGTGCAACTGAGACAAAGTAGTTTCATTGTTGTTCAAATGATAGGTCAATATAAACTGATCATAACAACTAGGCAGAGAGTTCAACACTTCATCAAAATTCACATTGAGCGTGATAAGCCTGTCCACATATCATTGCATTCTCTGAACATGACTGCTAACAAACTCTCCCTCCTTCATCTTGCTAGCAATCAGGGACTTTACTACCGCGTACTTTTCTTGACGAGCTCGCTTATGGTATTTCTCCATAAGGTCCTTGTTCATCTCGTACGGCCAATAATCCTCATAATGTCTCTGCAATTCTGGAGTCATTGTGGCCACCATGATGCAAGCAACTTTTGTTGCATCATTATAGTGTTTCTTGTAGGCGTGTAATTTGCTTGCATAAAAGATGAGGTTTGTTCGGATTCCTCATCATTGTTATGCGTATTCTGATCCTGAATTCGCCTATTAGGCATGAATACCTTTGTCGGTATCATTGCTTCCGATCCATAAACTAAGTTGAATGGTGTATCTTGTATTGTCGTCCTTAGTGTTGTCCGAAATGCCTATAAAACATTGGATAACTCTTCTACCCATCATCATCATGTTGCTTCCCCTAACCTTGTTTTCAAGCCATGCATATGATTATGTTTGTCACTTTGATTTGCCTCTTTAATTTGCCTGCTTGCCTCAGTATGGGCCACAAAGGTGAAATTTTGCCGAATGTTACAAAAAAAGTTGTTACTATTCATTATGAAGCTGATTATATTAGATCTAAACATTTTAAAACCAAAATCGGATAAATGCAATCCTTATTTTTTGTAAAACCAATCTACCCTTCTGAATCAAAAAAAAAAGAAAAAAAAAGGATCAAATTTTATCCGACCCATATGCACATCTATTCGAGTGACACAAATAAGTCATTACCTATTGGCCCAAGATGTATATGATTATCATAATGCACCGAGTTGGCTCAAAGTCGTTAACCACTATGATCAAAGTCGTTAACTGCCACACCCGTTAATCTTAAATAGCGTCAACTCTTTAATTGTACGCGTTATGGCGCATTTTAGCAACGCCTCCGATGCGGAAATGTTCCAGGAGAAACGTCACCGTTACAGCCACGGAACTTGATATTCACGCGCTCTCTTAGCGCGTGGCCAAGCCGTACTAAGTTAATCGCTGTCTGTACCTCACGCTCTACGATCCAATTCGTGTGTTGGAACCCTCTACAACGAAGACGACGAATTGGGGGCGATTTGGTTTCATAAATCCTCCGCTCAGATAACTCTGACAAATTTTTGTAACAACATACTGTGTTTGTATGATTATGTGTTAGATTTGGCTTTTCGTCGGGGGTATTGGGTGATTTATCCGGTTGCGATCGGAGTAAAGTAATGAAGGGGTGGAGAGAGGCATCCGGATCAAGACAAAGCAGCGACAGTGCATCCGCTGGTACGCCGCTGGGTATTGACAGGAACCTCTCGTCGAACACCATCCGACTTGGTCGAGTTCAACCCCAGGCGCCAGGTCACCGCACTGTTTTCTGCAACGATCGCGAAGCCAACCAACTCGCGAAATACAAGGTGTGTGTCTTTACATCACAGATACAAGCAAATTGTGTTAAATTGTGTGATTGATTGAAATGATGATCTTTTTTTTCGCTTCATCTTATTATACCCTATAGATTTGGCACTCGAAGAGATATGAATTGGTATACTAACTAATAATATTTGGTGGTTCTAATGGTAATCTGATGACTATTAACAAAACTTTAACTGGATGCCATATAGAATTTGAGTTCAATGGAGTATGGATCATTCAAGATTAATAACCTTTAGGTCGAGCCTGGGTAGAAGAGTAGAGTAATTATCTGCTATAGCTTAACTTGACTTAGCTTTTGAAGGTATCAAGATCTACAGAAAACAGTATTTTGAAGATTGTAGAAGGAATAACGAGAACAAAGAAAGGATGAAATATAAACCAGCAGCTAACAGTGTTATTTTCCTTTCAACATCGTGTTTGTTATGTTGGAAATTATAAGTTTGTGGTTCAGTTAGCATGTTGTCACAATGGTATTAGTAAGATCAATCAACTAAGGCATGCCAATTTTAGTACATGTTATTTGCATTTTTTACTGAATTTCTGCTAACAAGATAACATTTGTTACACAAACAGTTGTTATACTCTTGAATTTGTTAACTCCCCATAATGAACTTGTGAGGTAGTTATGAAGCTAGAGGCTAGAACCTACATAAGAGGGATTGGTTCTTCTTATGGTATTAAAAATAAAATTATAATAGCAACATCAATTAACTATATATCTATAATGAATCACTCACATTCAATCAAATAAGCATCAATTAACTATTTGATGTTAATATTAGCACCAAGTATCCACTATCCACAAACATTAGTTAGCCATTAACATAACATCTGCTTTACATCTAAGATATCAAGCAACATTAAAAACTTATGAACTATTGAAAGCAAAATCAAACCACTAAATAAAGTTAAAAACATAATAACTACTAACAATCGTTTACCCTTATGCCCATAAACAAAAACAAAGAGAAGAAAAAGTTCATTGATCTATGGATGAAGAGAATAATAGCTTGCATTGACTATAATCTAACTGATGTGAAACAAACCTTTCAGGGAAATTCTGTATCAACAACAAAGTACAATGTTGCTACCTTTTTACCAAAGGGGCTCTACGAACAGGTAATTCATTTCAAACATTTACTGAAGTTAATAAAGTATAAAGTGATCCATTTTACTAAACATTGTTGAAGTTAATTGTTCATTTTGAGCCTTGTATCTTTATATGTTACTGAAATAGTTTCTTGTTCATAATTGACAGTTTAGGAGGGTGGCTAACCTGTACTTTCTTACAATCTCTTGTTTATCATTTACACCTGTCAGGTATGTCTTCTGAAAAATAACCCTAAAGATAAACATGTTATTTGCCATGTTATTATGCATCAAAACTCACTTTCTCTTTTTGATAAATGTTAAATGTGTTCAATTTTTTTTTGATATGCAGTCCTGTTAGTCCAATCACAAATGTTATTCCACTTAGTCTTGTGCTTTTTGTATCTCTTGTCAAGGAGGCATTTGAAGACTGGGTGAGCAATATTAAATTCTAGACTTATTGTGTTTAATTTTATTCATTGACAATGGTTTTAAAAGTTGGTTATATAACTTTTATCTCAACAAAACTCTACTTTTAACAGAAACGTCTTCAAAATGATATGACAATAAATAATACAGCTGTTGATGTGCTTCAAGATCAAAGGTGGGAATCCATTCCCTGGAAGAAGTTACAGGTTGGAGATGTTGTCAGAGTAAGTATGCTTCCACAATTTCTCTTCTTTTATGACACTGAGAAGTCATATTTTTCTCACATTTCTTATTGGCATTCATGCAAATTTAAATGTTTACGTTGTTACAGGTGAAGCAGGACACTTTCTTTCCAGCTGATTTGCTACTCCTTGCAAGTACAAATACTGATGGTGTCTGTTATACTGAGGTCTCTCTTTTAATGTCATGTTTATGTTACATGATACATGATACATGATACATGAAACCATATAGATTAGCTTTATCTTTTTTATTCTTTTATGTATCAGACTGCAAATCTAGATGGTGAAACAAATCTTAAGATCAGGAAAGCTTTGGAGAAGACATGGGATTATTTGACTCCTGAGAAAGCCTCAGAATTTAAAGGTTTGAATCTTTTTTTGAGATTGAATATTTATGTATTTTGTTTCATCTGTTTAAATATTGAATATTTATGTATATTGATCCATTTATTTTCAGGTGAAATACATTGTGAACAACCAAACAATTCGCTCTATACCTTCACTGGAAATTTGCTACTTCAAAAGCAAACTTTACCCATTGGTCCAAATCATATTCTGTTGCGAGTAAGATATAAATAGTTACCTTTTTGTATATTTCAGATAACTCACATTTTTCCCTTTCTGCCCTTCATGTCTCAAGTGATTTACTTTTCCAATTATTCTTATTTTTCTTTATTGCATTTCAGGGATGCAGTCTACGTAACACAGAGTACATTGTTGGGACTGTAATCTTTACTGGACACGAGACAAAGGTTTTGAATTGAATCTTTCTCTAGGTTCAAATTTCCATTATTACCCCTCCCCCTTCTCTTTCATATTAAAAATTTATTTTTAATGTCAGGTAATGATGAATTCCATGAATGTTCCTTCCAAGAGGAGTACACTTGAGAGGAAACTTGACAAAGTAATAGCCACACTTTTTGGTGTTCTTCTCTCCTTGTGTTTAATTGGTGCCATAGGCAGGTAAGTGACTAATTATTATTATTATTATTATTATTATTTTTTTTTCTTGTTTGTAATAATTTTATTCCACAAAACATTGCAGTGCTGTATTTGTAAATAACAAGTATCACTACTTAATGCTTTGGGTTAATGGTGATTCTCAACAGTTCAATCCAAGCAACAGATTTGTGGTATTGTTTTGCTTGCTGATGTGAGAGGAATTATGTTTTTATGTTTCTTTTTTTTGTATTTACTGTTACTAATTTTGGTTATTTTTCTTCCAGGTTTTTATTTTAAGTATCTTTACCCTTATTACACTGTATTCGCCAATTATTCCAATTTCTCTTTATGTTTCTATCGAGGTAGGTTTATAAAGTTATATCCTGGTTTTGCATTGTGATGTCAAAATGATTTGTTTTAAATAGTTTTTTTTTTTTTTTTTTTTTTAGATGATCAAATTTATCCAGTCAACTAAGTTTATAAACAACGACTTGAGGATGTATCATAGTGAAACAAATACCCCTGCGTTAGCACGCACATCAAATCTAAATGAGGAACTTGGACAGGTAATAATTTTTTTAGTTATGTTAAAATTACTATTTTGCCCTCATTTTGTAAATGTATTTACTGAGATGCTTGAATGAATGTGACAGGTGGAGTATATTTTTTCTGATAAAACGGGAACTTTGACAAGAAACTTGATGGAGTTTTTTAAATGTTCAATTGCTGGAGGGACTTATGGATCTGGTGTTACTGAAATAGAAATGGGAGCAGCAAGGAGGAATGGTGTAAATGTTAAGGAGGTATGTATGATGATCTGTCATATAAAAATGGAATTTGATTTGTTAAATGACATCTATGCCCTTGCAAATTTAACAGGTACAAAAAACATCTAATACAGCACGTGAAAAGGGTTTCAATTTTGATGATAGTAGACTCATGCTTGGTTCTTGGAGAAATGAACCTAATCCTGAAATGTGCAAGGTATAGAAAAATGTAACAAATTTTATTTTATCTGTTATCAAAATGTTGCGTTTGGAATTATGTACAAGCTTTTAGGTTAATATGAATATTACACAACTTCTGTTATGTGGTCATTTTTTTTTTATATAAAACAATGTTGTTCTTTTATTCAGGAATTTTTCAGATGCCTTGCTATATGCCATACTGTACTCCCTGAAGGTGAGGAATCCCCAGAAAAACTTCGATATCAAGCTGCATCTCCAGATGAAGCTGCTTTAGTCACTGCAGCAAAAAATTTTGGCTTCTTTTTCTACAGGTTTTTTATATCATTTTCTATTTTTTATTTTATATCATTTTACTAATGCAAAAACATGAATTCTTCAGGCGTACACCTACTCAGATTTATGTTCGTGAATCACATGTTCAAAAAATGGGATCCGTTCAAGATTGCAAATATGAAATCTTGAATGTCCTTGAGTTTAACAGGTATATAACATTTTCTATTTTTTATTTAAATCATTTTACTAATTTACCAAAACTGTTTATTATTTTTTTTAATAGTACAAGGAAACGTCAATCTGTTGTTTGTCGTTATGAAGATGGAAGGCTTGTATTATACTGCAAGGTAATTCCTCTAGTAAAAAAAAAACATGTCTTGTAACTAAAAAGCCAACTGTTAAATTTGTAAAACTGACTCTAATACAGAATCTGCCCTTTGATAGGGAGCTGATAATGTTATTTTTGAGAGATTAGCAAGTGGAAATGATGAATTAAAGAAAGTTTCACGTGAACATTTGGAGCAATATGGAGAAGCTGGATTGCGAACTCTTTGTTTGGCCTATAAGGATTTAAGTCCAGACATGTATGAAACTTGGAATGAGAAATTTATCCAGTCAAAATCTGCCTTACGAGATCGTGAAAGAAAATTGGATGAGGTAATAATTGAGATTCCATTTCCTTAAAAATTCACAAACAAAACAATATTTATATTTATATTTAAAAAACATGTGACAGGTGGCGGAATTAATAGAAAATGATCTTACTTTAATTGGATGCACGGCTATAGAAGACAAACTTCAAGAAGGGGTACCAGCCTGCATAGAAACTCTTGCTAAAGCTGGAATTAAGATCTGGGTGCTTACAGGAGACAAACTGGAAACTGCAATAAATATAGCATATGGTAATCATTACTTGTTAATTAATAAATAATAAATTAATCACTAATGTTTTGAATTTTTGCAGCTTGCAAGTTAATTAACAATGACATGAAACAGTTTGTGATCAGTTCAGAAACTGATGCGATCAGGGACGTTGAGAACAGAGTAAGAAGTTCTTTTAAATAAATATTTTTTTTTTAAAAAAGAAAAAAGAAGAAAATTCAATTTGATGTCAAACTCTTGTTGTAGGGTGATCAAGTGGAAATTGCTCAATTTATAAGAGAAACAGTGAAAAATGAGCTTCACAAGTGCCATGAAGAAGCACAAAGTATCATTCATGGTTCAACTGGACAGAAGTTGTCCCTTTTGATAGATGGAAAGTGTTTGATGTATGCTTTAGATCCAAGTTTGCGCTCAACTTTGCTTAGTTTGAGCTTAAGTTGCAATTCTGTAGTCTGCTGCCGTGTTTCTCCTCTACAAAAGGCACAGGTAAAATGACTCTTTTACCCCTGAGCCTGACAATTTCAAGCAGAAAGTATATGTTTAGTGGATTATATTTTACAATTTACAGGTGACAAGACTGGTGAGAAAAGGTGCAAATAAAATAACACTAAGTATTGGTGATGGAGCTAATGATGTTGGGATGATTCAAGCAGCTCATGTTGGTGTTGGGATAAGTGGTTTGGAAGGAATGCAGGCAGTGATGGCTAGTGATTTTGCTATTGCTCAGTTTCGCTTTTTAACAGATTTACTTCTTGTCCATGGCCGATGGTCTTATCTTAGATTATGCAAGGTTGTTTCCTACTTCTTTTACAAAAATCTTACTTTCACTTTGACTCAGTTTTGGTACACCTTCCAAACTGGCTACTCTGGTCAAAGATTCTATGATGATTGGTTCCAGTCGCTCTATAATGTTTTTTTTACTGCCTTACCTGTCATCATTGTTGGACTCCTTGATAAGGTACCCCTACCCCCTCTTTCAATGTTACTTCAAAATATAAACGGATTGTTCCAATGTTCATATCATCTGTTGATGATAATCAGTTTAACATATGTAAAAAATTGGCAGGATGTGAGTGCATTACTGTCGAAAAAGTACCCACAGCTATACAAAGAAGGAATACAAGATGCATACTTCAATTGGAAAGTTGTGGGGACTTTAGCTTGCTTTTCAGTTTACCAATCAGTAGTTGTCTACAACTTTGCTGTGTTTTCAAGTACAACCGGTTTAACCTCAGCTGGAAAGATGTTAGGGCTGTGGGATATCAGCTCAACCGCATTCACATGCCTTGTCATAACTGTCAATTTACGTCTTCTTATGATGTGCAACACTGTCACAAGGTGGCACACTATAAGTATTGGAGCCAGCATTCTTGCATGGTTCGCCTTCATCTTCATATACTCCATTGTCTTTGTAAATAAGGTACCACTACCACACATCTTTTTCTAATTAATTTTCTTGTATCACATATATATATCTAATGATGGATGTTTTTCATATTTAACTTTAGGGGACGTATTTCACCATTTATGTGCTCATGAGCACTCCCTACTTCTACCTGTTAACCATTCTTGTCCCCATTGTTGCTCTTTTGGGTGACTTTTTGTACCAAGGGTAAGTAAGCTTTTTCACAGATCGACAGTACACAATACATAGTACTTGATGATTCTTTTTTTTTTTGTGATGTAGGGTACAAAGATGGTTCTACCCGTACGATTACCAAATCGTTCAAGAAATCCACAGACACGAGCCGGAGTCAATCGGGGCGGGATTATTAGAAGTCGGGAACCAGTTAACTCCAGAAGAAGAAAGGCGATACGCGTTTGCTCTACTTCCAAGAGAAAAGTCAAAGCACACAGGTTTTGCGTTTGACTCACCGGGATACGAGTCCTTTTTCGCTACACAACAAGGAGTAACTGTTCCTCAAAAGGCATGGGATGTCATCAGACGTGCCAGCATGAAACCTAAGAGATCAACTCGAGATAGTCGCTCTTAGAATTTGTACACCAAAAAAAAAAAAAAAAAAGAACAAAAAATTAGGGGATTATTATGTACTTTTTTGAGGTTTGTTTTTTTTTTGGGATATTTTTGTAAGTTTGAACAGATGTATAATTTGATGGGAGTAGAACCTTATTAGAGTGATATTAATAGTCTTGATTCTTTTATTCATCTTTTTACTACTTTTTTGATTTGTAAGTTGGTTGTAGAACCTACGCTAAAACATATTCTGATATTTTATGTATACATGTTTATTGTTGTTGTGTGTGCTTTTATTGTATATATTATTTTATTTATGAAAACAATTTGTTGAGGATAATAAAAAGCACACTAAAACACATCGATAAAAAAACTAAAACACATGGATAAAAAATAATATTTTGCTTGTTATGTTTTGGAATCAAATTACATTTAACCAAAATAAAAAATACGTTTAATAAACAATTTGTTGATGCAAGGACCCTAGTGCTAACTAGAATGGAATGTTGTGACCACTAACTCTAGACGTGACATCTTTTCACTAAAGTAATGCCCTAATTCTATTGAAGAATATGAGACCAAATAAAAAGAGATAACGAATAAATGAGTCTCTTTACCTTCTAGATTTTTAATTTTTTTTTTGTTGTTATTCATGTATGGGGACATGTTAATTTCTTCTATATCGTTCCAATTTTATCGGACGTCTAGATGGGACAAAAAGATTAATAGATTTTTTAATTTTGTTTCATAGTGTATTTACTAATTTTTGTGCAGATGGAGGTGATGGTCAAATCGAACATCAGATGCTAGTGATATACCCTAGGACGTTAAAATGTTAGATACATAAGAATTGGATAAATACCAAAACATAAAATAAAGGACATACGATAACATACTAAAACACAAGACATATGAGTGATTAATGCTAAGATACCGAAAACCTGAATGAAGCTTAGGGCTGAAAGAGCAAATAAAGCCACTATCAAAGGAATTCTTTGACGAGTATCACAAGTTTTAACTAAATAACAACCTATAAGAATGTAACAAAATGGGATAATGACTTAAAAAGGTAATATATTTTTCGATTTGTACAGATTTGGTCACTGAGTTTTTTTTTTTCCGTCCACATTTACCTCTTCAACTTGTTAAACTGTACACATTTAGTCCTTATGATCGGTTACTGCAGGTTAGCCGGTAAAAATGACTTAATAAGGTAATGTATTTCTCACGTTGTACACATTTAGTCATTAATATATTTTTTTGTTGCAAAATAAGTCATTTTCGTTTTTGTACGCATTCAGTACTTATGAATGATTTCTTTAAGTTTTTCTCACGACATCTTACGTAGGATAGTCATATGGTGGTGGGATAGGTGAAAGTGGTCCGCCTATGTGCTGTAGGCCAAGATACCTGGTGCGGGCCGGTTGTGAGCCGTAGGCACGAAGGCTCGAGAAGAACAGTTAGGTTGAGGCGACAGACCAACAAATCCTGGGTATTCTAGTCCGATGACTGATTGGGCCAAGGTATTCCATTCTGATGAGTGTGAGCCCGTTATGCATGATAATTCGTTTGTTGTATGAGGTATTTTGGGGGAAACTCACTAACATTTGTGCTTACCCAATTGTTTATGTTTTCAGGTTCTATCGTTTGATCGTGGGAAGACGAAGACAGGACTGTACACATTCATCAGCAGTATTGAGGATTTCGCGTTTCTTATATTACTCTGATTTTTTATAAATGTATTTTGGAATAAACGTTTTTTCTTAATAATGGATTTATAATTAGAGAGTTTTGCCTTATTTAAAAATGAAAATTTTTTGTTGTGAAAATGAGACGTTCCACATAAACATCAACAGTCTCACACACTTCATCAATGATTGTCTCACGTAAGATGTCGTGAGAAACTTATAGAAATCATTTATAAGTACTGAATGAGTAAAAAAACAAAAATAACTCATTTTGAAACAAAAAAATATAAAAGACTAAATGTGTACAAAAATATTAATGACTAAATGTGTACAAAATGAGAAATATATTACCCTATTAAGTCATTTTTCTCGGCTAACCTGGAGTAACCGGTCATAAGGACTGAATGCGTACAGTTTAACAAGTTGAAGGGGGTAAATGTGGACGAAAAAAAACTCAGTGACCAAATGTGTACAAATCGAAAAATATATTACCCTTTTAAGTCATTATCCCTAACAAAATATGAAGAAATATGAGAGTGTGTCTAACTAATGTGAGATAGTAACACTTCTCCAAGAGTCATATGCTCGATAAGAATAGACTAGAATGTATAAAGCCACAAACCCCTTTCATGACATATATATATATATATATATATATATATATATATATATATATATATATATATATATATATAACAAAGATCAAATAAGAAATAAAATTTTAGTAGGAAGGTAAGAAAATTTTTATATACATATTTTTTTTAGCGAACCAACAAAATGAATCATTAGATGAATCGAAAGTAAGATAATTCACAAGAAAAAATTCTCAAAAAAACACCTTCATGATTCATTTTTAAGTAAATCAAGAACAATCTACTTTTATGACAATTTTAGAGAATAACAATAAAATCATCATAAAAATGAATCGTTGACATGTTTTTTTGGGATTTTATTTTTATGAATCATGCTATTTTTGATTAATCTACTAATTAATTTGTTTTATTTGCCAAAAAAATATGCAGAAGAAAAACTTCTTACATTCCTACAAAAAATTTCCATATATATATATATATATATATATATATATATATAGAGAGAGAGAGAGAGAGAGAGAGAGAGAGAGATGCTAAAGTCTTAATTGTTTGCAGACATTGATTCTCATTAGGCTATGTGGTATGTAGGGCTAAAGATGGTAATGTACCAATTAATTTTTACTAAAACCGTGTATCGTACCAACTATAATTAATGTAATAACTATTTTTATGTAACCTTTAAATTTTTAGTTTTAATGAAATGTTTTGATTTTAATTATATATATATATATATATATATATATATATATATATATATATATATATATAGTCGACTCCAAGATTTCGGATGCCCTATACAATATAACAAAAAATAGGCCTTAAAACTTGAAAGATCTAAAAGTAGATCTAAAAATTTAAGCAAAACAATTGGTAAAATACATAAATTAAAATTTTCATACAAAATAATATAAAAAAAAATATTTTTACTTGAAAACATTCATTCTTATATCAGTTGAAATAAACTTTTTAATAACACCTTCATAAATAACTTTATCCAAAATGTTGCTTTCAACAATAGCGATTAATTTGTAAATTTCCTTCTTGGTTCTAGATTCTGAAACTCAAGTAGTAAAACATAACATTATGTCATTATTACATTCTAATAAATCAGAAAGTAAAAAATCAGATTACAAATAAAAAACCAAAAATCAGAATTTATATTACATTCTCAGAAAAGAAATACTCTGATTTGCTTTTGAATTTTGATTTTAATAATAAGTGTTATATGTAACAGCCCAAATTTCCAAGAAAAGTTTTCATTTTTAAATAACAAAATCATTTCCAATAAACATGAAGTACCAATCACAATTGTTTTCAAAATCCACAACATCAAACATTTTATTTATATTATCAGAGTGTCCCCAAATAAAATCGCCGAAGAGTGCATGCCGCGCCATCAAGCCGTGACCTTGCCCTTAGGCTCTGAAGTACCTGAAACAACCAACAAACTGTAAGTTAATGCTTAGTGAGTTCCCCAGAGCATACCCCACACAATCCACATAATCACATAATCTATATTAGCTATAACAGCTACATAAATCACATAAGCCATGCATACAAACATATAGGGATGCCGTGGACTCATGCCAGGGTCTTACTCCAGGATGTTGTGGGCTCCCCCCAGGGTCTTATACCTACATTCCATGGGCTCCCCCCATGTTCTTTACCTAGAATTACATGGGCTTCCCCCATGGTCTGATATCCGACTGTCACGGGCCCCGCGGGTCTTCCATGCAAATAGCACAAAGTCAACTAGCATACAATATATCATAGAAATAACTATCATACTACATAACACATATATAAACATATAGGGATGCTGTGGACTCCCTCCAGGGTCTTACTCCAGGAGGCCGTGGGCTCCCCCATGGTCTTATACCTATGTGCCATTGGCTCCTCCACATGGTCTTAACTACTTGCCATGGGCTCCCCCCATGGTCTTTACCTGGAATGCCATGGACTCCCCCACATGGTCTTGTATCCAACTGCCACGGGCTCCCCCGGGGTCTTCACATATCTAGTCAATAAAGTACTAACGCATTCCAATATACATGCATACCAGACATATCAGTAGTGAATCCACAATAAACACTACAACTAATTGAATGGGACGTCCTTGGTGCCTTAGACCCATTGGTATGGTGAGGAGACTCACCTTAGTCTGCTGAACATAAAAACTGCTCGCATAATAGTCCGAAACTACCCGCGCTGAACAATAATACCATTAACCCAAAATTAGGATTAACTATAATCTAATTAAAGAACCCAAGTACCCAAGCCCAAGTCCTTTCATAATGGCCCACGAGTCTTCCTTTGCTAATGGGCCCAAAGTCCATGTCCAAAACTATTAATGGGCCACATGGCCCAATAAGGCCCAACTGAAACAACCATCACCCAAAACAGATTTATCGGACCACCAACCCAAAATATGACCAGACGCAAAACTGAATAAGGCCCAAAGTGTCTACAAGCCCACACGAAGCCCAAAACCCGCTGAGGTGCGTACGCCTTGTGTACCACTCCAGTATGCTCAGCGTACTAGCTCCTCAAGCCGTACGCGCTGCGTACATGCTACTACGCGCGACGTACAAGTCAGGTATGCACAAATGACCATTAAGCTCTTAATGCTTGGGATATTAACGTCAAACTTTAGATCTGAGTCCATTAAGACGTTCTAAGGCATAAAGTTGGCAACTTTAAGCCCTTGCATGCTCCATATGTTCTCAACAACCCCCTTATAACCCATTAAGACCTTTCCAAGGGTCTTAACTCATGCATGAGGTCAAAACACTCATCAAGACTTCATTTTTATGGTATGAATGAACTAAGGGACCTCATATCTACTCTTCCTAAGCTCTGGAGTTGCTCAAACTCCCAATAGGTGATTCATAAACACAAAAGGGGACA